CGTGCCCCCCGTCCTGCCCACCGCCTCATACCCCGTGGCAGGGATGAAATAAAGGCTGGCCCAGCCAGGTGTGTTGTCATTCGGGGACTGATCCTTCCGGATTGAGGCAAGAAAGTCCCCGTTTCTGGGCCATTCCTCCTCAAGAGTTGAGGGAACAGAAGGCCATCTTTCTCCCATTTCTCCTAAGACCTGGGTTCTGCACCCAAGGATCAAATCTCAACCTGATAACACTAGTCTTTTTAAAGAGGGGGGAAAACCCTGCATTTCGTAATCAAGAAGAGGCTGCGATGGAGGTGAGGCGCGTAGAGGAAATGACCTTCTCGATCGCATGACGAATACCATCAAAACGGGCAGCGACAGTTTTCCAGTAAACCAGGGTTTCTACGGATGAACGGGTCCTTTTTATAAAATATCAGCGGCGATCCATATTGCAGCTCTAAAATATCAGTCATTTTTACCACTTCTAGTTTTCATTCCATTTGGAATCAAGTTAGAAAAGAAATCATTGTATGGGGGAAAAACCCACAAGATCAATGAAAACAACACCTAAAAATACTTTTTTCCCCTTTCCTCCTCCCTTCCCTCCCTCCCCAAACAAAAACAACAGTCTTGTAAAAAAAAGTCTTTGTTCTGATGTCTGCAAGAAAAGCAGTACTGAGTTCAAGTTTCACTCTTCCATCATGGCCCAGGCTTCCTCGGCTTTCTGATAGTACTGGTTGGCCAATCTGCCTTTCATGGCTTGCGTAGCGGCTTCTGCGGCTTCCGTGTACAGCTCACCTGGGAAGACGGGACAGAGAATCACATGAGGAGCAGGAGGAAAGGAAAACGGTCTGTTTGTCAGACACCAAAACAAAATGGCTGGGTATCCAATGGGTTCCCACCATGGCTGAAACACTGCCACCTAGTGGAGTGGCCAGCTTGCCCTGCAGTGGTTCAGCTCTGCCCCTAAGAGGAGTCAGGGGGAAACCCAACCCCCCAGCACTGTGGGAAAGGGCAAAAAGTCTGCTGGCTTAGCTCAAGAGCAGGAAGTATTGCCCTAGTTCATATTTGGCTTTGTGACACCGTTATATTATCAGTCATGCTGACTATGTGATCCCTGACCGGCTGGGCTCACGTAGCACCAAAGCAGTTGCCAAGAAGAGCAGTGGGATGGACCAATGTGAAAAAGCTGAAGGTGTGATGGGTTTTGGGGAAGCATTTCAACTCCTGTCCCCAACCCCTTTTTGGACCAAAATGCTCACTCCCAAAAATTCACTGCAGCCACATCACCATATATTTTTTAAAAAAACAACACATGGAGTCCATTGACATAAAAAATAACAAGAGGGCACCTACGCCCATGCAGGGAACTTTCCTTCATCGTTGATACTGAGGGAGCCGGGCCAGACCAAGGGAACTACTTCCAGGCAGACTTGAGCCCCTGCTTCTGTCTTTAAGGGATTAACCATAAGAAAATAGTCTAGGGCTGAATTAGTGTGCCACTTTGTTGAATTACATATCTTCGCCCATCATCCTTAGTTAACTGTTCTACCCAAAGTATAAACATAAATACACATTCACAAACATGCACACTTCTGAAAAAGCAGTATTTTAATTCTCTCATGCTGGCCAATCAACTGGAATTTTAAAATTCTCTACAACTGGAAATATTGAAGTCCTTCTGCACAAACGCACACAGGCTGGAGGGGTACCTGCTCTCTGTGGGTCCTTGTCCAGATGAACCCCCCCTGTTGCTAATATCTCTGCTTCCCTCGCCAGGAGCAGGTAGCGGGGTTCATCTTGCGTTCCATCGTATTCCCCTCCCTCATCGTAGTCCGTCATGTTCAATGCTGCGTCGTACCAGTGTAGGGCTTCCTTCCAGTCTCGGTCTCTGGGTAAATATAAAAAAGGAGAGGTGGGGAAAAACTGAGCACAATTCCGTTATTAGACAAAAAAGGCATTTGTCTGAGCTTCACAGCTCAGTGTTAACACACTAGGGACTCTCTGATGTGCAATTCGGAAAAGACTTTAAGAAGAGATTTATGTGTCCAAGACTTGCGTTAGCAGACTAAGGTAGAACTCCCATTTTATGAGTTGCACCTAAAGGGTGCCTCACCTATGGAACTCTTTACCTGTCTAATGGTCCCCATAGTGGGTTCCTGGGAACAGACTGTCATCAACAGATTTTCTGTAAGTGTAACATAAAGCAAACTAACTTCTATAAATTCAGGTGGGTAGCCCTGTTGGTCTGAACCAGCAGAATAAAGTTTGAGTCTAGTGGGTATTCTGCGTATAAGCTTTCGTGTACACGAAACCTTATACCCAGAATAAAACTCTGTCGGTCTTAAAGGTACCACTGGACTCAAACTTCCTTCTGTAACTTCTATAAATACTGTTATGCTCTCCCTACTTCCCAAAGCTGCAGTGAGTTTCAACAGCTGCAGGGTTTACTTTCCTTTGGCCCCGTTCACATGGCGAATTTGCCGTGGGAGAGCCACGGGTGGTGGGCGGATTATCCGTACGCGATCGCCCCCCAACATCTGGGAAGTGGAGCGCACCCGTGGCCAACCCGTGGCTTACCGCCGAAAACGCGCAATAAAAAAGTAGTACCTCCAAAGTACTGGCAAACGGTTTGCCACGGGATGCCTCTGGATGCCCACGGTGTGATTGCACTGGCGCGCAGCTTTCCCCTCCGGCCCCTCATTTACATGCCGGCTCCGAGGGAAGGACCCATGGAGTGCCACCGGCGCGTCTGATCGTATAATCGCGGATCAAACTGCACCGGGGCAATTTGCTACGCCTCCCCCCCCCCCGATATCCGCCCCGTGTGACCGGGGCCTTAGTCATATTTCCTCTAGCAAATGCAGACCTACTCCTGGAGGCAAAACTCCACCTGCCTCAGACTACTAGAGAGTGAGTCAGGTAGTCCTTCCAAGACTGCCCCCGGTTTCCAGCTAGCTCCAGTCAGGGAACTCTTCCATCTTTCTATCCATTCAAACCACTTGGGGTTGTTTCCCGTTGTCCCTTTCCTTCAACGACAGGGTTTCCATTCTTTCCAACAGGTATCCCACTCCGAAAGCTCACAAGAGACTCTCAGGTGTGAGGACTGCCATTTCCTGTTAATATCTCATAATGGCTTGAACATCCACCAACCATTCTGCATCTGCACCATGAATCAGTCGTCAGCCTAACAAAAGGATAGCCAGTTAGGGATCCTCATCATGCAGTACCTGTCAGGGGCAAGGTTCACGCCTGTGTCATATGCTCTCGCGACAAGGATCATGGAGGGGCGGTCTCCCGCTTCTGCAGCTCTGTGTAAATAATCAAAGCCTTTGGTTCTGTTTTCTGGGCTGTCCTAGAAAAACAAAAACAGGTGGGGACAAAGCTAAATGGGACATCAGAGAACACCATCATTCTTTCTTATTTGAGTGATTTTAATCACTCGGGAGGTTTTGTGTTAATACTGGAGAGGGCAATTTCAGCACAACAGAAGAGAGGGACTGTGATGGCCTATCAAGGGTTAATGCGTCACAGAGTCTGAGAACCTCTGAGTGAAAGGCTGTTCAAACAGAATTCTGTGGAGTCAGTTAAGATATGACAGTTGGGAACTGACAGTTGAAGAAGGGACAGTTAAGCAGTGACTGAGGAGTGGGAAGGAGGCAAAGAGGAGTGAGCATCAGAGAGGATCCCCATTCAAGCCAAAAAGGGAAATTGTTCCTAGTGAAGTAATCCCTGCCCAGTGAAAAGGAAGATACTCTAAAGAGGGGAGTGAACCCTTGATCTGTATATATAAAATGATTTTGGGAATTTGATTGTATGTTCCTGCCTTAAACGTAAAGTGTCAGTGAAATTCAGAAACTTGTGTTTGCAAGTTAAAGGTTTTAGACATCATCTGTAATGGTTTTGGGGTTTTTTTTACTATTTTTAACTTATTTAACTTATCTATGATTGTATCTTTGAATGTTGTACACTGTCCTGAGCCCCAAGTATAGGGGAGGGTGGTTTAAAAATTGAATTTATAAATAAAATAAATAAAGCAGAAACTGAAGAGAAAGCCTCTCTCCTCAAGAGTTTTGTTGGAAAGCAAAAACACTTGTTGGCAACATACCTGGATTTAGTGTGATTACAAAGTTACCTCAGTTTTTATCATCTGTTCACCTCATACATCCTACCCCTGATTCCACCTGACCTTTTCTCCTCTAAGTTAAATAAAACATTTTATTTTAAACTTCTAAAAGCCTCCTGTGAGGCATTTCAGAAGTTGAAAGGAAAGTGATTTTGTCTCTTCCCTCAAGTCCCTGGGCTGGGCCAGCATCAAAATATATAATAAAACAACAGGCTGAGACAGCCATAGACCAACAAATAAGAAGAATATAGATGTAGGGGGCTGCTCAGCAAGAAAGAAGAAATGAAAAAAGGAAATTCCTGTGTGTGAGAGAGGGAAGAGAGCAAGATCGCCATAGGGAGTAAGGCCTTTGAGGTTGCTCCCAACTCCTTCCCACTCCCAGGTCCTCTGGCACACATAGAGGATTCAGGGGAGGAGGGTCAGCTTCCAACAACCACCCCAAGTCTAAATAACCCTGGGAGTACAGCAGGGCCCCTGGGAGAGTGGGGAGGAGTAGCCGCGAATTTCAAGCATTGTGCAGGTGACTGGACTAGATGACCCTCGGAATCCCTTCCAGCTGTTTCTGTGTTTTCCCCAAGTCATCTGTGCATGCCATGGAAAATCCCGAATAGGGGTTTCTCTTGTCATCCTGGGACTGGGCAGGAGGTCAGCAAGAAGAGATTCGTGGTGGCCAATGGTAGCCCAGTGACAACAATTGTAGAGCCCTGAGGCATGTCAGGAATTGGATTTACAGCTAGAGGAATAACTTTGCCACCTGCGTCTCCTTTGTCACACCATTCCTGGTATAAGAGGCAGGGACAGAGAGACATTCCCCACATGATGGAAAACAAATGCAGATTGGCTGCCGAGGCAGGGAAACCTGATTGGCTAGCTGTACGATACAGGCCTTTGCGAACAATGTCCAACGTTCACATGTCATTGTTTTTAGGTACACAAAAAAATATATTAGGTGTACCTCTAAAATGGGGAAATGTGTAAAAAGGCTCATATTCTGATACTCTTGATTTCACAATCTCCCAAAAATGGGAACAAAATCACACACACTCACTCTTACTGTCTATTTAGTGCCATGACAGACACTATACTGTGTGATGTAGAGACCTGGGTTCAAAGCACCACATAGCTAGAAAGCTCATGAAGGTGACCTTGGTCCACTTCCTATATTTCAGCCTAACCTACCTCAGAGGATGGTTGCTAGGATAAAACAGTGGAGGGAAGGGCTATAGATAAGAACATAAGAGAAGCCATGTTGGATCAGGCCAATGGCCCGTCCAGTCCAACACTGTGTCACACAGTGGCCAAAACCCAGGTCTCATCAGGAGGTCCACCAGCGGAGCCAGGACTCCAGAAGCCCTCCCACTGTTGGCCGCCAAGCCCCAGACAGCGAGTTCCATCTACATCTTGCGGCTAGCAGCCACTCATGGACCTCTGCTCCACGTGTTGATCTAACCCCCTCTTGAAGCTGTCTATGCATAACTGTGAGCTCCTTGAAGGAAAAGCAAGATAAAAATATGAACTGATAGACAGTAAAAGAGGTTCTTTACCTCCAGATTGACCTCCGAAAGAATGTGATGCGGCAGCTGAGAATACATGAGACCTAACCCAACGATGGCTTCCAGCTCTCCACAGTCGGCTGCGTGCTCCAGGTGGAAAATGGCGGACTCGTGATCCCATTCCTGGTCTTTCTCACAGAAACGGCCCGCCTCATGGTAACGAACCATGGCCAAGTGGACCTGCAAGGAAACAGAAGGAAAATCATACCCAGAGAGGATGAAAGGGAGGCCATCCTGACAGCCAGAAAGTGGCTGAATTCCACAAAACGCTTAAAACTCTATATATTAAATGGAATTTATTTTTTAAAAATATTTATTGGCTGCCTCTCCCATAAAAACAGGATGGGAGTGGATATACAATACTGACAGGGAGAATTCTCCCCCACCTCATGGAAGAGGACTCAAAAGCATCACAGTATCCCCAAGTATCAGGTGCGATGCATTTAACAAACCTCAGTGTGCCAGTTTGATTAATACATGTTGCCTGGAGAACAGGGCATATTTTTAAATACATTCATGAAGAGTCAATTCCACAGGGAAACTAATAGTAGGTACAGATGTGCTTGAAAAACCAAGCATAGAGCACGTTCCCTACATTGTTGTCTTGTGTACATAACAGTCTCCTAATAATCAGAGGGGACATTCTGTCCCCGAAGCAGATGAGGCTCAGCAGAATGCTGATTGGCTGGGGGTCCTGTCACATCATCTTCCTATCCTTCCCGCAGAGCAGTTTCCCAACTTGAAAGACTCACTGTTGGGATTCCTTGTTCCAAAAAGAAAAAATCAGGGGGTATCGATTCTTTAAACGTATAATTGTGCAAGCTGTGCTATTAAAACAACCTAACAATCAAACCAGACATGTCATTGGAAGGAAAAATCATAAAACTGCGAATGACTTATTCTGGCTATGTCATGCGGGAGAACTCACGGGAGAAAGCAATTATGCTTGGATTGGTTGGCAGCAAAAATAAACTGGGCCGCCAAAGAACTTGGGGGCTAGAGACCATAAAAGTCAACACCAGCCTGAGCATGGAACAACTCAAGGAAACAGTACAAGATCGGAAAACGTGGAGAGAGAGCTGGCCCATAGAATGGCCAAGAGTCAAACACAATTGAATGGATAACAACAACAACAACAACCAAAAATGGAAACATGCCAGCAGAAGCCAAGCTGGCAAGTAACTCAACATGCACTGCTGCAGCAAATGTGTGTGACATTTTAAGAGTACAACTGGAAGGAATCCGCCACCTTAAGCCCATGAAGCTGCCTTATACTTAGTTGGACCATCGGTCTCTATTGTCTACTCAGACTGGCAGTGGCTCTCCAGGGTCTCAAGGCAGAGGTCTTTCATATCACCTGGTCCCTTTAGGTGAGGATTCCAGGGAGAGAACCTGGGACCTTCAGAGTGAAAAGCAGATGCTCTGCCACTGAGTAACAGCCCCATCCTGTGAGGACAAAACCATAAAAGGGCACACCCCTTTGGGGGCTGAGGAAAAAAGCAAATCACCCTAGGAAGGTGACTGCACCTTCCTGGTGAAGTAGGTCTGTGAGGCATCTGCCTTGGGCATAGAGATATACCACCAAAAGCACCAGATGGCTCCCTAGGAGGAGGAGGACTTGTTTCCCAGGACACCTCAGAGACAGGAAGCCAGCTTAACATCATTCAAACATCACACCCGCGTCTGGTCCCAAGTGAAGGAAGGTCATTGGCTCATGCTCTGTCGTGCAAGTGGAAATCACAAAGAGAAAATGCTGCCTGAGTGTGCCCCGTCTCCAAAATGGAAGAGCGTAAAAAAAAAGCGTTTATGTAGGACCTTCCTTAGTGCTGGTAGTTCCAACACAGGAAGTGAAATAGGAAGTAACTTGAAGATGAGATACCATGAGGGACAGTTTGCTTGTGCGCAGGTAGATAAGAGTACTCTTTCCCTAGGGTTGGACCCATCTGGTTTACTTAAATATTTGGCCCGCTTAGATGGGACTTGCTTTCTTTTAGCAGCGTTGGCCATCAGTTCTGCGGATCACAAGCACAGGAACAAGAGATCGTGGTGCTCAAACCTTTCCAAGGATGGACTTCCCAATTTTCTTCTCCAACTCCAGGGCGTTGAGTCTCTGCACTTCCACTGCGACACAGGAGGGTCTGTGAATGTGAACTCGAGCGGCATTGTAGAGATTCCATTTCTCCACGCTGACCTAAAACCAGGGCAAAGGCATCATGTGACTTTACCTTGAAAACCGGAAGTGTGTCATCCCGTTGACAGACACAGCCCTCCAGAAGGGAGAGATCCAAGACAGGCTATGGCTTGTACAGCAACCCCTTTTTTATGCGTTTACGCAAAGTGGTTTGCAAAGTAAAAAGCATGCTGATAACTGCACAGCTTGGATCTTCCATGGCCGTGAATTTCCATCCATCTTCGGACAAAGATGCATGGCAGTTCCCCACACTTCTGGACTGACTGATGTTCTGGGGTTGGGGAATCACAGCAGGGATCTCTGATCAACCTCCCACCCCATGTGTAATTTGGACTCAAAAGCAGCTTCAGGGGACCCCCGGAAACTTCATCCGTAAAGAAAATGGACACATAGGCCCATTGCCAGGATTTTGTGCCTTGTGGGGCAAATTGTTTTCTGGTGGGGCTGCCATTATTTGCCATAATGAAGGAGGGGTGACGTGTGCCCCTCTCCCTCCCCTCTTGCAAGATTTAAAGAGCCCTTCAGCTGATCAGCAGGGAGCACGTGGCCTGCCAATCAGCTGGAGGACCCTTTAAATCTTGCAGGAGGGAGGGAGAGAGGGCGCACCACCACCACCCTGCTTCTTCACAAAAGCATTTAAAGGATTCCTTTAAATGCTTTTGGGAAGAAGCAGGGGGCCTTTAAGAAGCTGGGGGCCTTTAAGGAAGGGGCCGGCCCTTTGAGGAAGGGGTAGAGCCCCCAGTAGCCCCACCGTAGCTCAGGAGCAGGGACACAGTAAGGGTATTTTCCAACAACTAACAGCAGTTCTGGCGAGGCGAGGAGACAATTTTGATTGGGGAAATGGCACATGGAACTGAAGGAAGTCCTGATCCCTAACAGGATCTTGCAACTGCTTTTTGGGGTCAAATTATAATTTGGGGGGGGGGTATCAGATCCCTAATTTCCCACATGCTTGGGTCTTAACGGCAGCCTTGTCTCCCACCCTGGCCTGACCGTGTTACAGTCTGGCTGCTATGGTTTGTATGGGAGACCACCCAGGAAGACCAGGGGTGCTATGCAGAGGCAGGCAATGGCAAGCCACCTCTCAGCGCCTCTTGCCTTGAAAACCCCCATGGCCCTGGGGCCGCCCTGAGTCAGTTGCAACTTGATGGTACACAATTATTATTGGCTTGTAACACAACCAAGAGCGTGATACAACAGGCTTGCCGCATCTATGCAGGTTTCCCCCAAGCCCTTCGAACTCAGTGGTCGTGCCCATGAATCACTCGCCTTCACACACCAGCCTAAACAATCCGAGCAAGTAAAGCCAGACTGCCCTCTTCCAGACTTGAATCCACCTAAGCATGGGAGAGGACGGTCCCGATGCAATGCAGTCACGTGCTTTTGTCCTTACAGACGACAGTGGTGAGTCACAAAAGCTCTCTCTATACAGATGCTGCAGCTACAAGGCAAAGGCAGACTCCACCAAGACAAGCTCCCTCACGGCTGACCTCACACTGTGATCCTAAGCAGAGTTATACCCTTCTAACTGCACTGAACTCAATGGCCTTGGAAGGGTGCGACTCTGGTTAGGACTGCACTGTTAGTCTCAAAGCATAGTTTGGCCATCCACTTTATTTAAGGTTCTTCCCCTACCCGAACCTCCCATGATGTGGGTGGACAGGAATCGTCTTATTTGCAGGCTCTCATTTTGACTCGCCAAAGCCTGATGTTTACGGCAGCGATAGGGGGGAAAAAACCTGGATCTGCGTCTCATAAAAGGGGTGTTTTGCTGTGATCCAGAAAACTGATCTGCCAAGACAAAGTTTGTTAATTGCACCAAAGTCTGCAGCTAACAAAAGTGTCTGTAGTTCAGCAAACTCACCTTCCTTCTCATTTTAGGAGATTTTGCTTTCTAAAACATATCTCTGTACTACTGAAAAGTCCGGATAGTGAATGATTGCCTGCGACTTACTGCGCAGTTACAGTTAAAAGGATTTCGAAATCCACATCTTTGTTTTAGAGCCTACGGAGAGGCTTGGAGGGACCTCTTAAGAGACGAACCTCCCCAACCACATGGACAGAGCAAAAGAAACAGGACCGAATGAACACTAAATCGAGCCGCACAACAGACCCAAAACCCTGTGCAAGGCAGGAAGTCATGCAGAATCACCAGTGTGTTCCGAGGACTGGGTTCAGTGGTCACAGAGGATTTATTTACAACCACAATTCTCTAATTGTGAGGAAAGAAGATTGAAAAGTGAAAAGAAAAGGAAGTGAATGAAAATGAAATACGATTCAGCATCTCAAAGAGGGGGGGGGGAATTAACTGCTTTCAGAAGGATGCAAGCTGGAGAAGCAAACCAGAAGGGGAGTAAGCTAACGAATGAGACCGGCCAATCATCTGCAGAGATTTCAGCTTTTATTTACCCTTGCAGAACTTCCCAAGCTGTCCTCGTCGGATTCGTGCCTTCGGTTGAGGTTGGAATGGCCCTGCGTAGCAGATTTTAAAAATGCACAGTTTAGCCCATGTTTGCATACCACCAGGGCAGCAGTTGTTTTTTTAACTGAGTGTTCAACTGTTCTTACCCCACCCCACCCCCATATTCATGCAGCCTTCCAAAAATGTACTTTGCAAAACATTAACCAAGTCGTGGGATCATGCATTCCCTTCGCAATGATAAATACTTCAAATACTTAAGCTGATTTCCCCCCAAAGGTTAGAGGTCAAAGTACATGACTTTGGAATCCCATGACAGCAACTCCTTACAAGCGCTGGCCATAAAAAGAAGATGGGGTTCGGACTGGGGTGGCAGTACTGGGGAAGGGCGATTTGTACATTTCTTTGCATACCCTACATGTTTTCCCTGCTCAAACAGAGCCCTCTGGCTCCTTTTAGCCCTGGCAGGGGGAAAAAGAGGTACAATTTTTGTGTCTGTCTTTCCCCCCCTAATGGAACTAAAAGCTAAAAGGGTTGATTAGGGAAGTGGTTTGTGTATAGGAGTTAGGCTTGCCAAGTCCCGCCGGGGGGCGGGAACCCCCTGCCCAAGAGGCCTGTTACCTGCTGGCGGCGGATCGGGCCCCGGCGGGAACCCCACCCCCAAAGCACGTGACGTGCCCGGCGTCAGCACGTCACCCGGAAGTGACGCAGTCACATCGGGCGCGTTGGGGGCGGAGCCACGGTCATCCGGGGGAAAACTCTATGGTTTTCCCTCGGATGATTGTGGTTGCGTCACTTCCGGGTGACGTGGTTGCGGCGTGCACTCCCGGAACGAAGCTGGAGTCCCCCGCTGTACATGCAGCGGGGACTTGGCAACCATAATAGGAGTGAGGCTGCATTCAGACAGCCAAAGAGCCCATGATTCACATGTTCCAAGAGTGCGCTCACATGCTCCTTCTCCCTTCTCATCTTCCTGTGCCTCGCTGATGTGGGAATAACAAGAGACTGGCCAGAAACACGCCTAGGCCTGAAACTTTGGTCAGGCTGTTTTGAAAAGTTTGGTCATAAAGGAATGATGTGTAAGTAGACAGAAAGGAGTTGCAACACAGTACAGCAAAATGCAGAGTTCCTAAGAAATCATAAAGGAAGGTTGCACAAAGGTTGCTTGCTGTGACTCTACGTTCTAGATTTATCTTGTCGAAACAAAGACGTGCCTTTTTGCTAACCTCTGCAAAACCACAATGCCTAAAAGTCACATGGCATAACCAGAAAGGAGGAACCATTTGTTGTTTTCATCAGGGTATCAAAGTGTTAAGTAATGGCTTTCGGCAGCCTTGGGCTTTACTCTTGGGGTGATCCCTCTCAGCTCCTAACAGCTGTTAGCCTCAATAAAGATCCTCTTTCTCCCGATTCGGAGTCCAAAATTGTTCTACCGTGGTTTTTCCACCACACTGAGATTCAAGACTTTGCAAGTTGGCATGCCATCCAAATGGGTCACTTTAACAAATGGTATTTGTCTGCAGAGTAGGAAGGGCATGGACCCACCTTAGTTGGGTGGGAAAATAGTTGCAAATAAATTTGCATCTGCCCCACCTACAGAACAAGGAGGTGTAACTTACTCAAGGGGCTCACCAGGTCAGTATTGTCTACTCAGACTGGCAGCGGCTCTCCAGAGTCTTTGGACAAGGTCTTTCACCACACCTACAACCTGATCTATATCACTGGAGAGATCAGAGACTGAACCCGGAATCCTTCTGCATGCCAAGCAGAGGCTCCACCACTGAGCCACGGCCCCTTCACCAGCAGGACTTGAAATAAAATGAGTTACCTTGTCTCGGTGATCCATGTCTTCCAGATCACTCCTCTTTTCACTGGGGTATCCACTATCACCTCCATTTTCAGAGTCCTATAGTGGAAAAAAAGCAGAGGAAATAAGGACACAACGACACTATTTTCTTTGCTCTCTCAATAAGCAAAGAAGAACCCCTGTTTTATGGACAACTGTGTCCCTTCCGGACAAGTCAGATTACATCTCGATAGCCCCGTTTTTCTCATCCTACACAGCCCTGGGCTCGGGCCACAATGATATGTTGAAAGAATGTATTCGTCCGCAGGAACTATCTAATTCACTATCTAATTCATCCACAAGAACTAACTCACTCACAAGCCCAGCAGGACAAACAGTAGAAAACAGATCAAGAACTGGGCTCCCCAACCTTTTTGAACCTGAAGGCACCTTTGGAATTCTGAGATAGCATGGCTGACACAGCCACAAAATGGCTGCCAGAGGAGGTGGAGCCAGCCACAAAATGGCTGCCACAGCTTACCTTCAGTCCCACAGAGAAGATCGGTGTGGTGTGGTGTGGTGGCAGCTGCTGCCAGAGCAATGATTTTAAAGATCTGAACAGCCAATCGAATCCCCAATGGCCAATCAGAAGCCTTGCCAAGCAGAAGTCCTAATGGGCCCCGCCCACTTTCTAAAAACCATTGGCAAGCACTAGGAAAGGCCTTGACAGGTGCCATGGCATCACCCCCGGGCACCCCAGCAGGGACCCCTGATCAAGAGGGTTACTGACAAAAGACGCCTGGAATAATTTTAGAAAAGTTAGAACGCAGGATAGAGAGAAGCAGGAGATCCACACCTCTGATTGCGAGAGGGAAGGAAGGAAGCAGTTGGACAACTCCCCGTTGTGCACAGACCTAACTCAGGTGCCAAAGTCCCGTTTCCAACTGTCGGTGACGGGATCCAGCAGGGGGAAGGCAGGAAGCAGCCGGCTGCCCCTCCCTCACCCATGTCCCAATAGGAATCCCTTCCTGGAGGAATAATTCTGGATTTAACGTGAATAGACACTTGTGTTAGAGCGAGATTTCGGGAAACCGCTTTTGGGGGCTGATTTTGGCTGGAAGGCAGCCTTCTTCAGGGGAAGGATTCCTCCACCAAAGAGAAGTGCCTCAACTGACAGAACGGATCTGAGTGACGGGGACCCAAGCCACGATTTGTTTTTATATTTGAGACATGCTGCCGTGCTGCATCAAGACTTGGTAGTCTTGGGCCCCCGGTCACACGGGAGGATTTGATCCGCAAGAGGGATGGATCGGGGGCACATCAAGCGGGCGCGATCACACCGCAACATCCCCGGTCCGTCTCTTCCGGCCGAAGATACGGAGTTAAAATAAACCTGCAAAGCACCTACCGGAAAATCCGCAGCACGGGCGGCCGTGTGATCGCCGACGTGCCCGTCTCCCGCGGCATGTGAGGCCCCCTGCCGAACTGCGCAGGCACACACATGCGCAGCTGACTCGCCTCGCTCTCCTGTCCGTGGCTTCCCCCTCGCATCTGATCACGCTTGGGAGCATAGGTGCGGTGGCTCGGGGGATCTGTCTGATCCCGCCGCCGCGCTTCTCTTTTGCTGTGGCTCTAAAAAGCCACACTTCCGCCCCGGTTTTTCCCGCGGTGTGACTGGGGCCTTGGAAGACAACTCGGAAGCAAAGAGACAGCAGTAGCCATGGCCACGGTTGGGTCTGTGAGACCAGCCCGTGGGGAGGACAGAAGGGGGAATTCTTCACTGCTCCCTTAACTCCCTCTTTTGTTCTAACACTGGAACCCTCCAGTCCACTCCTCTGTCTCCACCTCTGTCCAGCCCAGTCTTCAAAGAAGCACTTACCCTTTGGTTGTCAAGGCCCTCGTGATCCTTGTGAACCAAATTGTCAACTTCATTAAAAACAGGCCAGTCTAGGAGGGGGGAAAAAATTATAAGTTTTTAAAACATTATTATTAGTTCTCGTATGGCCAAGAAGAGATGGAATCTTAGCAGTCCCCAAAGCAGTTCCATCAAACAGTCTTAAGCCCGGCTTCACACTGCATTTCTAAAAACAAGTAATTCTGACATGTCTTTAAATTCTCTTTCCAAAAAAATCTTTATTGGATTTTTAAAGAATTAGCCCGGTATAACCCGCTTTTATTTATTTATTTATTATATTACATTTATGACTCACCCCAATCCCTACTATTGTAGGGCCTCTGGGCGATTTACAACATAGTAACAACAGTAGAACTATAAGATAAATAAATACAGCAGTATTAATATTAATACATTGATTTAAAAGTCAGGTGGTGAAATCTACCGTTTTCTCCCGTTTCCAGCCTGTGATCGCCTCGTGGGTGTGTGTGTGTGTGGGGAAGTAAAACAGTCTCCCCAGTAGGGACCCAAAGCAACTTACAATAGCCCTCCCCCCCTTCTTCATTTTACCTTCACAACAATCCTGTGAGGTAGGTTAGGCTGAGAGTGGGGGCAGGGTCACCCAGTGAGCTTCCATGGCAAACCAGGGACTGGAACCCACGTCTCCCAGATCCTCCTCCGACACTAACCACGACGCCACACTCATTGTGGCCTCCGAAATTTCACTGGGTTTGGATTCACAAACTAGCTGAATCGGACCAACTTGATCTAAGCAGACTTGGCTATTTATGTGACGCCCAAAAATTAACCACTAGATGGGAATCCACAAGCACCTTAGAAACCAACAGGATTTTCAGGGTATGAGCTTTGGAAAGTCAAAGCTGCCTTCGTCGGATCTGACAAAGGGAGCCTTGACTCTCGAAAACTCACAACCCCAAAATCTCCTGGGGCTCGAAGGTGCGCCCGGACTTGAATCGCGCTGTTCTACTGCAGACCAAAACGGCTCCCCTCTGGAACAGAAATTAATGGGACGGACCAGCAGAACACGTATCGGCTAATTCTTTTCTAAACCCTGCTAAGCCCTCCTGCCCTCCTCCTTCACTTTGCACCTGTCCATTCCACTTAAAGCCGTTTCCTGTGCCCACCTGGCTTGCAGGGGCTGCATGAAACAGTTGTGCAGGTGTGGTTGCCAACAGGGCTTTTTTTGTAGAAAAAGCCCAGCAGGAACTCATTAGTATAATAGACCACACCCAATAGCAGAAATCCATTAGCATATTAGGCCACACCCCTGACAGCACATCTCATTACCGTATTAGGCCACACCCCATGTCTTCCCTTGGCTTGCCTGGGCACCCCGCGGCTGCAAGGCGCCCAGGCAAGCCAGCCCTTGGACAGACCGAGGAAGTCCCGGGGAGGCATTCCAGGCCCCCCCTGGCCCACCCACCTCGGAGTTGCTGGGGGGGGGTCACTCTCCATGCCTTCCCTCTTTAGCCACGCACACAGAGGTTTTGGCAGTAGTGGGTGTGGCCAACTCTGAAGCCAGCCGGAACTCCGTTCCTGTGCGTTCCGACTCAAAAACAGCCCTGGTTGCCAACCTCCAGGTGGGGTCTGGAGATCTAGAATCACAACCAATCTCCAGACTACAGAGACCAGCTCTTCTGGAGAAAACTGCTGATTTGGAGAGTGGACTCTATGGTGTTATACTCTGCTGAGGTCCCTCCCCAAACCCTACCTCCAAATCTCCCATGAATTCCCCAACCCGGATTTGGCAGTCCTCTGCACATGTTGACTCCCTGGCCTCTTGCCTAAGGACACAAACCTGCCTTTGGAGCTATTCGGGAGGGAGCACAAATTCTTAATCCCTGATTGCTCACTACTGCCTGGCTACAGGAGGGAGCGCACACATAGATGCACACACAAGAAAGCAACTGCAATAGGCAAACATGGGCCTCCGTTACACCGTCCCAAAGATCCCTGCGCCTAAGTCAACATTCTGCAGCAATGCTAAACTGATCTTGTGGATTTCCTGAAAACCTTAAAGGAGACCAGTACTTTGTGAAACTCTGTTATCAACGTGTGCAAGAACTTAAGCCAAGGGGGTCCCCAAGCTTACTGAGCCTCGAATTTTGAGAAAGGGTGGTAGGAGCCACCAGAAAATGGCTGCTATGAGTGGCATAACCAAAATCAAGAAGGTTGATCAAGAAGGGCATGGCCAGTTACAAAATACTGGGATACTGCAAGCCAAACATCCTCCTACGATGGAGGTAGCCATTTCCAAATGGGTGTTCCCTGCAGGCGATCACTCTGGGACTCTTCTGAAACTTCAGTGCAGCAGAGGTCCCCCAGGGCTGCCTCTTTGCTTTAGGGAAGAAGCAAGGGGGTGCCAGGAAACACCTCGGCAGTCGCCATGACGCCCATGGATACCACATTGGGAATCATCGCAATAGCCTACAAAGCACCCTCTATCAGACATCACTGATCAATTCCAAAACTGCTTCTCTGATAAGGACTGGCAAGATGCCATTTCAAAGCCCCAAGGCATCCAGCCACCAACAAAGGAATAAAGCTGCTTCTGAAACCCAAAGTTGTTATTATTGTGTACCCAAGCGCACAAACACCTCACGTGAGCTTTACCACCATCCAGCTAGTTAACATGAGAACCATTATGGCCTTCCTGCCCACACTACATTAGAGCAGATCAACCAATGGCACTGAGGGGCAGAGGCAGGAAGAGAGGTCAGAGAAGGAAAGAAGGAAGGAAGGAAGGAAGGAAGGAAGGAAGGAAGGAAGGAAGGAAGGAAGGAAAGAGAGAAAGAGAGAAAGAGAGAAAGAGAGAAAGAGAGAAAGAGAGAAAGAGAGAAAGAGAGAAAGAGAGAAAGAGAGAAAGAGAGAAAGGGAGGGAGAGAGAAAGAGAGAAAGAGAGAAAGAGAGAAAGAGAGAAAGAGAGAAAGAAAGAAATTAGATTTATACCCCGCACTTCACTCAGAGTCTCAGAGCAGCTTACAATCTCCTTCCCTTCCTCTCCCCACAACAGACACCCTGTGAGGTAGGTGGGCTGAGAGAACAGCTCTGAGAGAACGGTGACTGATCCAAGGTCACCCAGCTGGCTGCATGTGGAGGAGTGGGGAATCAAACCCAGTTCTTCAGATTACAGTCCACCGCTCTTAACCACTAAACCAAACACAGGAGCGATGCTGAGAACAGAGAGGTCCCACATCCATATATGGGAGAACAAAAATACAGATTGTTTTACTGACTGGGATACAAGGTGGAAGAGAAGAGTTCTTACGAAGCATGTCGATCTTCTGGCTATGGGGCGTTGCCGGAGAAGGAGAGGAAGGTAATGAGTCGAAGGCCACGTCGCTCATACTTTCGTCTCCAGAGTTTTCAGACAAACGGAAAAGCAGAGGAGGGCGGCTACCGGAGATGGTCCTCACTCGGGTGCTGCCACATTTCTCTTCTGTGCCCCGCACAACCGTCCGTGCCGATTCCTTCGGAAAGAAAAACAGTGGGGGAGGGACCTCAGTTTTAATGCCTGTGTGACTTTTCTAGATCGATTTTTTGGCATATAATTTAATTGCATTTATGTTTTTATTTTTAATTGCATTTATGTTTTTTTATTTTTAATTGTATTTATGGTTTTTATCATGTGGTCGGTTTTTAAAATTTTGCACTCTGTCTGGAGTCTCTGAGAAAGGCAGACTATAAGTGAAGTAAACAAACAAACAGATAGGCGGGGCTTGCTCTGGCTTCAACAGTCTCCCATTTCTTTAAAGTGGATCTGCGACAATCATCCTTTGCATCCAGATCATGATCGATTCCAGCCCGTGATCTTCACTCCTCCAGCTCCATCACCCTCTCTCAGCCAATGAAAAGCCTTCTCTTCCCTCACATGACTCCCTCCTCTCTCCCTTATTGCCTCTTATACCCAGACAGCCTCTAAGGCCCTATGCCAGATCCCCCAATGCCTTGGCATGCACTGCAGTTGGCACTCTGAACCACAATGCCATCCAAACTCCACACATATGCAAACATTGTAAGTTCTTCTGCCTCCCCCATACACGTTTTTAAACGTTTGATCTGCAGAATCTGACGCAGCGGCCAGGGCTTAGCCCCACTGTGTGGCTTTCGCTATCCGCATGGCGGTCGGCCACGATTAAATGATTATTAATCATATCCAGTGTTTTTGCCATCTCATTTCACAAAGCCCATAAATTCCTGCAAAACAAAGATGAGAACCTAGCAGGGGGTCAGAGTCTTGCTGTTCAAGGCATCTTGCGGGAAAGGACTTACAAGGAGCTTACTGCTTCGATACAAGGCATCGTTCTCTTTGGCGGAGAGATCAAAAGGCACGAGGCCCATGCTTCTGCAGATCTTGTTGCACGCATGAGAATGGAAGAACAAGGCCATTCCCCGCACACCTAGGGACATTCAAAGAAACCCTATGGAGAGATCATTTCAATACACAAAGCCCCAAATCCTCCATAGGGAACTGGGTATGCTTCATCACCCCTATTGCTATTCTCAGAACTCCCATAGACTCTAAAATGCTGCTTTACAGATGTTAACGTAGTATGATGAAACATCTTTTCAAAAAGTCACCCTGGCGGCACAGGAAGAAGCAGCTACGATGGCTCCTGCCTCAAGAAACGCAACACTGAGCTTTCGTATAACAAATCTGCCATCCAGAGCAATGGAAGGATAATTATTTAGTGAGTATGTTTTTACCACCACCCCCACTTCCACCCAGGAACTCACAGCAACACACATCATTTCCCCATCTTCCCATTCTATCTTCACAACAATCCTGTGAGGTAGGGTAGACAGAGATAGGCAGCAGCAGCCCAAGACAGAGGCAGAAAGGCAGAAAACAAGACTGGCAGTGTGAGAGAGAACTAGGACTAGAGCCCAAGTTTCCTGAATTCTAGTCCAACCACAACACAACAATGGCCCTCAAAAGCGAGCGGCAGGGAAAAGATAACATGCTCCCAGGGTACACGCCCCTTCACTGGTGCAAACCACTCCCTCCCCAAAGGCAGTTTGCGGCACAGAACAAACGGCCAAGGCTGTTATCCCACAGTAACAATCAGCTCTTTCCCAACAAACTACCAAGGCCACAAAACGTCAAGCTGTTTTTTTTGTGTGTTTTTTTTGGGGGGGGGGTTACCTAAGTTGCCATCTCCGAAGTCTGTGCCACTCTCTGTGTGGATCTGAGGGTCCGTGTAAAGGTCTCCGACGCCTTGGATGTCTACGATGATCAGCTGGTGCCCTGACCGTTCAAATGTGAAGTGGCTAAAAGCCTGTGGGGGGAATCGGCTAAAGTGAGAAGAGGCCTGCCTTAAGATGTCACTGCTGCACTTTGGTAGCCACCGTAACACAGGAGCCACACTTGAGGAAGCCACTTCATGTGAAATAGCTCTCCACACTGGCACAAGACCACCCCCTCCAATGAGACGTTGGGGTCTACTGACTCAAACAAACTTATTCCTCTGGGAAGTGGAAAGATTTGAGTCTGGCAGCCCCTTAAAGACCCACAGGCTCCCTTTGTCAGATATCCCCTGGAAACCTTGTTGGTCTCTAAGGTGCTACTGGACTCAAACTGAGCTCTTCTACTGCAGACCAACATGGCTACCCACCTGGAACTATCCTCCTAGGGAACTAGGGTTCCCAAGTACTTACCGCGATCCGGCGGGGGAAACATGCTCCCCGGCCAGACCATTCCTCCCTGTAACACAGCATGCCGTCGCCAGGAAGTGACGCTGGGCAACGCTTTGGCAATGGGGCTGAAAACTCGATGGTACCATCAAGTTTCAAGCCCCATTGCCAGAGCGTCACCCAGCGTCACTTCCTGGCGACGGCATGGTGCGGCGCGTCTGTTGTCCCCGTAGGAATGATCCTGCGAAGATGTCTGTGTCCCCCGCCGCATCACGGTAAGTTCTTGGGAAGCCTGTAGGGAACTGTTTCTGACAAGAAAGGGTATTCACATGACACCGTGTTATCAGCAGCTAATCTTCCAATGGGCTTGCTATATAAGACATTAAGACTACCATTTCTGCAGCAAACTTGGGTTAGTCGGTCTGATGTAAGTAACACACCCCGGTTTGCATGTAAACCCTTCAAGCATCTCTCCCACCTCTAGACAGGAGGAAATCTTTCCTAGAATAGTGTCTCAGTGGCTACGAGAAGGATACTGCCCCATAAACTATGGTTTGTGAATTCAGACATTACAACCAATTGCTTTTTGTAGCAGGAACTCCTTTGCATATTAGGCGACACACCCCTAATGTAGTCAATCCTCCAAGAGCTTACAGTAGCTCATTTAAGAAGAGCTCTGTAAGCTCTTGGAGGATTGGTTACAACCAGTCAGTTAGTATGAACTGTGATTTAAAAAATCAGCTGTGAACCAATCTCCCAGAGGCCAAGAGGGAAATGAGAAGATAGGTTTCCTGTGGCAAGGAGTTCCAAAGATGGGAGATGACCATTGAGAAAGGCCCTGAGCTGCACATGGGCTCATCTTAAGTGGCAGGTAGGTTCATACAAGGAGGTAGTGACGCCGCAGGCTGCAGCCCTATGCCCAAGGAAGCCTTTACCTGTGGGGTGAGGCGAATGTTGTCGTCTCGCACAAATCCTGAGTTTGAGTTGTACTTGATGTATTTGCCCTCGATATAATGCTCCAGGTGAAACAGAGGCTTGCCCGGCCGGTTCTTCATTTCAATCATGCAGGTCTGGACTATGTCCACCTGGCGAGGAAAGCGAGCAACTTTTGACAAACAACATGCTTCAGTCAAATCAAAGGGGGAGCAGAGTTAGGTAAACTCCTGCCAAGAAAAGCCTCCTGATCTAAGCAAACAGACTGAAGGAGCCATTTCTTTGAACAGGTGCAGAATTATCAAGACTTCCCAAGACATTTTTGCAGAGCAAAACAGCACACTGGATTCACTCACAGATAACTCAGGTTTCCATTTAAAGGGGTAGGGAGAAAAATGGGAGATTGCCTCTCACTGCAGGCAACATTTGGATCCAAGCCACCAAGAATGTCAGCTGTGCAAGTCAAAATTCACGAGAGCTGCCCAATAGCACACACCAGATCTCCTGTCACTTCTGGTCCAGCCCACCACTTAAGTTCCTCTTCTAAAGCCCCGCTCCCCACATCCCCACCTGCAGAGGTGAGGTGCACTGGAAACTGCAGACGGGGACTTCTTAGTAGTGGCGCCTTACCTTTGGACTGCCCTCTACCTGTCTGGCTGTCCTATAGGCACTGGACCAAAGCATTTCTTTCTAATCAATGCTTTTAACTGAGGGGTTCCATTTTGTTGAATCATTTTTATGGTCATCTTCTCTGGCTGGAGGGCTGTTTTACAAAATCCTTTTCGGTTGCTGGATTTTGTTTCATGCTGTTTTTATGGCCTGTATCATCATTGATCGTTCGTATGTTGTTGTTTTTATGGCTGTGTTGCATTGTTTTTGCTTTGTGAGCTGCCTTGTGCAGGTCCCTTGAGAGGCAACGTGTAAACTTTTCTCGAGGAAGTCAGGAGACCCCTGCTTTTAACAGACCGCCCGTACACAAAAGGTTCAGGACCATGAGCCACTCATGCTGCTTAAATGAGGCCCAATTTGAATATAACACAGGCGAGACAAACTGAGCCATGCCATATTCATTTATTAATTTTTAATTATTTCATTATACATATTATTATTTTATCAATAATTATATTTAACTATTCCAATTTACAAAACAAAAACAAAACATAAACTAGAAACTACACTAATCCTCTAAATAATAGCAGCACTTGCCCGGCATCTAGTTTTCAACTGGGGTTCCTGCTGCTTCTTACATTGTGCACATTTTGCATGCCAAAGGAGTCACAGCATGGGTGTGCCAATGTTACACACCTGAAGGCACAGTTTGAATGTAATGCTGGCCATGGGAAAGATTACCCAGATATGTCCTTCTTCTCCCCCTCAGGGTCATGTTTCAATCAGGCCGGGGAAGACCCTTCCTGAGAGACACATGATACTCCGGTGGTAGCAATTACTTCTACATACCAACACACAAACTGACTCAAGTGATTGGTGGATCAACTGAACCTACAGAGATGCCTTAGACAGCACTGGTCTATCAGTATTGCATACACTGACCAGAAGCAGCTCTCTCGGATATTGGCTACAGAAAGGGCTTTCCCAGCACCTGTTACCTGACATCCTCTTAAGTGGAGATTTCAGGGATTGAATTTAGGACCTATTGCATGCCACTCTATGGATGAGCCACAACTCCTTCCCCACTAACACCACAACTGTCACACGTTCCTACTTCCTAGAATTCTCCTCCCATTAATCAGTTTGCAAAACCTTATGATTTGTATGCCGCTTTGAGCCACAAGGATAGGTGGGGTATAAATATTTTAATAAATCATTAACATAATAAAAGAGTGTAATAATCTCGACCCAGTGACTTTTGGGGAAGGGGGGTTATTTGGGGGTTTCAGCCAGCTGCTTTTAAACGGCCATGCTTTTAATTAGGATTTGTAAGCCGCTTTGAGTTATAAGGAAAGGCAGGATATAAATGTTTCAGTATATGAAGAAAAGAATAAACAAATCTTTTAAAAAGTGTAACAGTTCAATCTTGACCGAGTGGCTTTTGAAACTCTCTGGGTGGTTTCAATCCCCCCCCCCGCCCCCGGATCGATGCAACTCTGTATCGTGAGAGGGGTTCACGTGATGTGGTCCATATCCCCCCCAGGATTGTCATCTCCCACTTCTGCTCACTGTCTCGAACTAGATACCTGCTTGGGTGGCTTATGCCGATTGTACTCTTCCCCCCACAGCTTTGCCTCCATCTGGAGCCGCACATCCTCAAAATAGACGTCTCTGCTGACCGTCTCAATATACCGCTTGGCCACATAGTTGAAGGCCCCTTTCCAGTTCTGGGTGTGCAGAAAATTGGACAGCTTTTTCCTGCAAGGAGAGGACAAAATACATGGAGATAAATTGGACCCGGTACTTTGGGCATATCCAAAGGCACAGCGATTCATGTTGCTCTCCTATGCTCTTGCTGCTGCCAAGCTTACAGTGCGCATCTCCAGTTGTGGCCATCATATTGATAGGTTTTTTTGGGGGGGGAATTGCGCTGCTGGGAGACGAACCAGTCCCACCCAGTTGGCTTATCAGGTAGAGGTTAGTGGGTTTCCCAAAACAAACTGGAAACCTGGAGATGGAATGGGGTGGGAATTGACTCCAGCAAAAAAATGCTAAACTTTTTAAATACTATTGCAGGAGGAGGTGTGGGAGGCAGATAGACCTTCCCTATGGGCCACAATCCATGGGAAAGGTGTCTTGCACACTGCTCAACAGCAAGAGAACCTCTGGTGTTCAACTGCTGCATGTACTGGTGCTGGAAATGTGCAATCAGCTGTTTTTTTCTAGCACACGTGCCTGTAGCAGTTCCCGCAGTAGGAGGGGCCATGGCTCAGTGGCACAGCAACTCCTCGGCATGCCGAAGGCCCCAAGTTCAATTCCCAGCATCTCCAAAGAGTCAGTGATGTGAAAGACCTCCACCTGAGCCCCTGGAAAGCTGCTGCCATTCTGAGTAGACAATACTGACTTTGATGGACTAATGGTACGAATCAGTATAAGACTGCTTCACATATGTTTATACCTGTTGTGTTACGATGAATGCAAAGAAACTGCATGACCAAGGTTACTTCTATGGCAGACTCTGGTAGTATATTTAACCACCACTATTTCTCTTACAGCTCTGACCTGGATGGCCCAGGCTAGCCTGATCTTATCACATCTCAGAAGCTAAGCAGAGTTGGTCCTGGTTAATACTTGGATGGGAGACCAACAAAGAAGTCCAGGGTCGCTACATGCAGGCAGCCAATGGCAAGCCGCCTCTGAACATTTCTTGCCTTATGACATCACCATAAATCAGCTGCAACTTGACAGCACTTTGCACATTTATCTTTTAACATCTGTTTTTCTATAGTAAGAACATACCTGCTGGATCAGGCCCCATCTAAGTCAGCATCCTGTTTTTCCCAGCAGCCAGAGAATACTCCCGGGATGCCCACCCGCAGGGGAGGAAGCCAACAGGCCTCCCCCCAGCAACTGGTAATAAACAGGTACACTGCCTCTGAATATGGAGGTTCCATTTGGCCATCACAACGACCAGCTCTTGATAGACCACCCACAAATTTGTCGATTCTTCTTTAAAGCTACCTAAGTTCACGGCCATTAGCACATTCTGTGGCAGAGAATTCTGCACGGTCACAGTGTGCCAAGAGAAGAAACAGCTTGTTTCATGTCTCCTCAGGCTATTCCCCTACCCGACTTACAAAGAGCGATGTGGTGTTAAAATTAACTGAGCTTTCAACTTAAAAAGACCCCACCACCAATGTTCCCTCTAAGCTGAGTTAGTGTGAGCTAGCTCACAGTTTTGTAGCCTCTGGCTCACACATTTTCGTCTTAGCTCAGGGAGGATGGTTCCAGAACAAACTAATTTATTCAGTAGCCAAATCGCTCACTCACAACTTTAATGCCAGGAGCTCACAAAGTAGAATTTTTGCTCACAAGCCTCCACAGCTTAGAGGGAACATTGCCCACCACCTGCCCCCCGTCCCACAACAACTCAATCCAAGGAACCCTACCATCAATATACTTACGTCCGGAAGCACTCCCGCATTGCGCCGCGGCCAAATGGCTAGAAAGAAACAGAAACACAATCAACTTCCTAGAAGCTTGACGGATGTCTGGGGGGGAAAGAAATCTTCACTTCTGCCTTTCCTTCGTGGAAAAACGTTCCACCAGAGGCACACAACCTTCTCAGGATGCAAGGAACTCTCCGCTCAGCCCCAAATGACAGCTCACAGCAGAGCTTTCCGTGTCAGTAGGAAAACAGAGGTCATTCCTCCTCACCTGGGAAGCCATTTTGATCAGAACCTCATCTTCGACCCACTCCCCAGTAACAGCATTGTACCTGCCAAACAAAAAGCACAGGCTTAAGTTCATTTCACTGCTCCCAGCTCTCAAACGAGGATGGAGGTCAGTGGGGAATCCATTAACTGGCTAACCCAGGTTGTCAGAACTCTGAGGGGGTGGGTGGCCTGAAGCGCTGCCACAGCAACTTGCCAACTTCCACCTCAATTCCTCCCCAGACAAACTAGACGGTTCCCCTCCTCCTCCTCCTCCTCACCCCCAGCATTTCCAGGCAGCTGTGGTCTGGACCCTCTCAACCCATTCTGCGTTAATGGGCACCCATGCTGACACCTTCCCTGGCACCCACCAAGTATTTTTTTAGAACGTGTGCGGGGCCAGGTGGTGCTCAGGCCCATAGCTACAGTGGGGCTATCCGGGGCTCCGCTCCCTTTCAAAACTCCTTTTAAAACATTTTTGAAGGGGTGCGCTCCTGCTTCTTGCGCCCACTGAGCCCGGCTCCCTCCCTCCCTCACCTGCAGTTTTTCAGTTTGGAGGGCTCTCCTCTGTGGCTGCTGCAGCAAAAACAACTCGCTTGGGGCTTCTGCTACCCTCCCTGATTCCTTTCCTTTAGCAGCCCCTTGAAAATTTGAAAGCCCCCCCAAAAAACAAAATCCTAGCTACGGGTCTGGTGGGGCTCGCTTCTGTTTGGCCACTGGAGAAATGATTGGCTATTGTAGATTTTTGAAAAGCATTGCTTTGGCAGCAGCTGCCACCACAACACAAGGATCTTCACAGAGGCGGCCATTCTGTGGCTAGTTCCACCTCATGTGGCATGGCAGCCATTTTGTGGACACGCCAACCATGCTGAGTCAGAATTCCAAAGGTACCCATAGGGCCAAAAAAGGTTGGGGACCCTGGTGTAAACCTTATAACCTTATATGTACCACACTGAGGCCAGGACTGAGCCCCACCGCCCAACCAACTGTGGATGCCATCTATTGCTTTCAGTGGGGCATGCACCCACAGACCCCCATCCACTGCTTTCAGCATCCTACTCCTCAAATGAGCAAGTCAACAGGGGCAGGGATTGTGGATGGTGGCCCCTTTCTGATAGACATGACCCCCTCTGGCTGAAATAGTCAGTGTGGTGTAGTGGTTAAGAGTGTCAGACTAGTACCCAGGAGACCTGGGTTCGAATCTCCACTTGCTCCATGAAAACTCACTGGCTGACCTCGGGCCAGTCACACTTCTTTCTGCCTAACCTACCTCACAGGGTTGTTGTGAGGATAAAATGGAACATAAGCTGCTTTGGGTCCTCATTGAGGAGAAAGATCGGGTACAAATGAATTAAATAAATCAACAGTGCTCTTTGTTTTTAAGTCTCAGGCAGAAGTGGCTCGTGGGATGGGTTGCAGGGAATATCCCAACCTCCACCACGGAGTGAGAAGGAGGGGGGCCCCTAACCCATGGGCGTCTGACCTGTTGGATGTCTGGCCATGCACCAGGTGGCTGCTGGGCTATCTTTGGAGGTTTTCGTCCTTTTCAGTCTCAAGTGCCCTGTACACTGAACTTCCTGTCTGTGTACACAGTACACAGGGGTGAGCAAAGGTTGTGTCTGCATTGCAGGATCACACCCTGTGTGGGCTCACAGCACGTACGCTGGTGCGTCGAAAGGTTTACATTCTAGGCATACTTCTCTGAGGAACATGCAATGCACACACTCCAGAGAAAGAGAAAAGCTATTTTAAGAACAGCACAGCACGTTACCAAGCGGCCACGCTATTTATATCTTTTAAAGAAATAAAAAATATTTCGAGGCGCCTTCTTCCTTATTGGGCTAAATCTGAAGACTACTGCAATGAGCTCCCTTATCTCCAAAGCTTGGATATTCAACATCCCGAAGTTGGGAGGGCCAAAAACAGGGATAATTGGAAGAGATAACAGAAGGGGGGGGGGAGAGTGGAGGATGCCTGCTCGATGTTCAGAATAAGAGAGGTTCAGAGAAATTCATGTGTATTCTGACCACAATGTGTTTTTATATGGGGCAGCACTAGAAGACTGTCCGGAAATGTCACACGGTGTAAACCAAGCAAAGAGAGTGCTAACTGGCATGAGATGTACATAGATCATATCTTGCCAGTCTTAAAAGAGCTCTCGATGACCCGTAAAGCCTCTGGCCCATGAGCAATGCTGGGAGTTAAATTTAGCTCAAGTAGCTCAGGGATTTCCCTCTCGCGGGGCTCCCCTTAACTTTCCACTGCACAGCAATTCTGTCAGCACCAAACAACTAAGATGGCCTCCCCTATATTCATCTGGCAGCATGGGATCCTTCACGGCACAAGTCTTTCCCGTGATACCGTGAGACGTCACAGGGTGAGGGGACCCCCACTGCAGCTCCTCCCCACCCCAGTTACTCCACCCCCACTTTCAGAAAGGAGGCTGCTGGAGTAGGGTGGAGCCAGCACATTGGTCCTGCCCCCTCACAGCCTGAGGCTTCTCATATTATGCCAGCAATGCTGGAAGGCAGTAGTATGCAGTAGTAGTATGCAGTAGTAGTATGCAGTAGTAGTATGCAGAGGCTCCCACAACACTAACAAAAGGCGAGAAGGGGGCCCACACTAATAACACACAGGTCTGTTCAGGCCCACCTCAAAGTTAATCAGCTGCAATGTCAAATGCTCCATCAGAGACATGGTGATTACACTTTTCAGAGTGGCTCCTAGTTTGATGGGCTTCTAAGACTCTCCTTTAGGAAACCTCTTGCTACTGATGTTCTCTGCCTCTAGAGTATCGGAATAGGGTCTGGGAGACACAGGTTCAAATCCCCCTTCAGCCATGGAAGCTGGCTGGGTGACCATGGGCCACTCACAGCCTAACCTACCTCACAGGGTTGTTGTGAGGATAAAGTAGAGGAGAGTGATGTAAGCCGCTTTGAGTCCCCACTGGGGGGGAGGAGGAGGAGAGATTGGATTTATACCCCACCCTTCACTTGGAGTCTCAGAGTGGCTTACAATCTCCTACCCTTCCTCTCCCCACAACAGACACCTTCTTTGAGGTAGGTGGGGCTGAGAGAACTGCTCTTGAGAGAACTGCTCTGTGAGAACTGTGGCTAACCCAAGGTCACCCAGCAGCTGCATGTAGAGGAGTGGGGAATCAAACCCAGTTCTCCCAGATTACAGTCTGCACACTTAACCACTACACCAAAGCCAGAATATAAATGAAGAAAATAAATACATAGATGTATCCAATTGGTTTTTGTCTGTTTGTTTTTTAACATTCTTATGTGGAGAGCATGACAAGAAAGAAGCAAATCCCTTTGACGAGTTCCCATAAATCCAGGGGAATGCGCCAAGCACCAATCTCGGATTCAGAAGTGGATACAGACCTGTACCGGGTGGCGTGTTCTGTTTCAATGTCCTCTAGATGAAATTCAGCCCAGGGGTCAGGCATGTGCTTTGCTTTCTCGATGGCGTGCTTCCAAGCTTCCTAAAAAAGTCAAAACTACTGAGTTATTTATACAAACGCCACACCAGGGCAACCAGAAGCCATCCAGATGTATTCCCCGCCCCACTTCTGGGGGCCGTACTAGATGGGATGGCATCCACAGATCTGACCCGTGGACATCGCTGCCCTTTTAAAGTGATTTTAAAATGTTGTGACGGACTACGGGGTGGCATTCTCACCTCCCACAAGCCTTTTCAAGTGCCAAAACAGCTACAGGGGATTTTGGCTTAAGCCCTAAACCAGGGGTCCCCAACCTTTCCAAGCCTGTGGGCCCATCTGGAATTCAGACAAGGGCACTGTGGGTGCAGCAACAAAATGGCTTCCACAAAATGGCTACCACAGGAGACGAAGCCAGCCACAGAACGATTGCCACAGCTTAACTTCAGTAACACAGTGCAGGTCCTTGCGCTGTGGTTGCAGCTGCTGCCAAAGAAATAAAAAATCTGCACAGCCAATCAAATCTCCATTATTATTATTGTTGTTATCCAATAGGCAATCAGAAGCCTTGCTGGGCAAAAACCCTACCTGGCCCTGCCAACTTCCTAAAAATACTTGGTGGGTGCCCTGACAGGGACCCCTGCCCTACACTAGCGCCATAATCCTGACATGTCATTCAGTCTTGAAAGAGCAGCTGGGGGGGGGGGGGCAAGCTGGAACAGAACTGAGGCTCTGGGAAAGCGGGTTTTACCTCAACCCCAGTAACATTTCCCCAGATTGCACCTACCCTGGGTGGCTTCAGTTAGAGAAACGGTGCAAAGGGACTGCACCCCAATCCAACTAGCCCCCCCCCCCTGTTTCTCAGGCTGTTTCTCAGGTAAGATTGCAATTTGGGGTATTAGATCATAGCCCCGACCTTAACTTGGCCCCAAGACTCTGGCTTATCCAGTTCTCCTCCAGGGAATTTCCTTATCTGCTGACTTCTGGCCGCATCCTTATCTGGCAGCCAGTTCTTCTCACGCTTTGTTATCTTATATCGATTTCAAAGCAATATACATCAAGCTGAAGCATGCTCTTAATGCAACTTTTTAAGAAGCCAAACCAAGCATACTCGGAGTAAGGACATGAAAATGAAAAACGCCTTTTAAAATGCTAACCCGAAACACCAGAGCTCTCTCCCAGCAGCCAAAGCAGATGTTAGTCTAGAAGGGATGCAGATGAAATATTACAACTTCACAGAAATGGCCATTTGGTTCAACAAAATGCTGTTACTATGGGAATGCAAGAGTTAAAAATTTTCAAGCATTTTTCACCAGTTGGTTAAAATTCTATCCACTCTTTCCGCCCCCCTTCATCTTTGCACTCATCAAAATCAAAATCATCCATCTACTTTCAACCGCAGCTCAGGTTAAAAAAAAGGGGGGGGGGAGGAGAGCAAAATCATGTTCTAGTGCTTAGTCTTTGTGCGGAGATCATCCTCTCCTGGATTAATGGAGGGCAGTGGCCATCAATGGCCATGAGCTGCGACCGTTAAATGGAACCTCCATATTCCAAGGCAGCTTAGCTCTGAGTACCAGTTAATGGGGAGGGGGAACAACAAGAGTGGAGGACTTTAGTCTCCATGCCCTGACATCTAGGAACCAGGATGCTGAACCACTGGATTGTGAACTTAGGAAAACGGTTTTTCTGTGAGTGGTTTTCCCATAGCTGAACAAATGATCCAGCTGGAGCGACTGATAGTAGACCACAGAATCAGCTCCATGCCCAGAAAAACACATGTGCCAATTCTGCAGGAAAGGCCCTGTAAAGTGCTGGGTTCGCAGCATGGAGACTCAGACTACGACATGCTCTCAGGTGCGTTTATTGTACTTCACACACTAAGATAAAAAACCGACCCTGCAAGGGCCAACTATATACACACCAGCCAGCACACCCACAGTCCCATTGTGGGGTTTGAATTTCCCGCCAGAGGTCTTATTGGTGGACTAGGATCCAAGGTCCCTATTGTGTTTTGGGACCAAGCTTCTGACTGGGGTCGCGGACCCCTAGTGGCAGTCCACGTACACAACAGACCCATCATGCAAACAGCTGTCAGTTATTCTGTTCTAAGCAGAGTTATACCCTTCTAAAAGTCCTTTGAAATCACTGGGCTTTGAAGGGGGCATCTCTGCTTTGGATAGCACTGTTAAACATCAGCTACTCAACAAAAAGCCACTCCACGTGACTTAGGGCCACAGAGACTCAGACAGCTGATGCTTGTGGGTAAGGAGGAGTGTGTCTTTGGCTGTGGTCACACGCGCCAGTTGAAGCGGAGGGGAAGCGAGGCGATTCCCTCCGGAGGGATCTGACACGCAGTTGCGAGATCACACAGCCCTCTGAAGCTGCGGGCACAGTCCGTCACTGTGTGATCAGATGCAACTGTGGGTGAGTCTCTTTTTCCCCGTTTGTTTCCCTTGTGCGTGAGTGAGAAATCGCACCTCCACACTGAGGGCCCCCTAGGGAGCATGCAATGATGTGCATACTGCGAAGGGGGAGGGGACACGGCACGGAGTCGGGATGGCCTGATCAGACCATCCCAACAGCAGGAGTGCGTGCTTGAGGGACCAGACAGGGGAAAGTCCACCCGTGGCCCACCTTATCCGGATAACACCGGGCTTTCGCACGGAGTCGGGATGGCCTGATCAGACCATCCCAACAGCAGGAGTGCGTGCTTGAGGGACCAGACAGGGGAAAGTCCACCCGTGGCCCACCTTATCCGGATAACACCGGGCTTTTCCTACGCTTCCATGGTGGAGTCCCTTGGACTGCAAGAAGATCAAATCAGTCAATCCTAAAAGTAATCAACCCTGACTGTTCCCTGGAAGGCCAGATAATGAAACTGAAGCTCAAAGACTTTGGCCACCCAATGAGAAGGGAGCACTCCCTGGAGAAGACGGTGATGCTGGGAAAGATCGAAGGCCAAAGGAAACGGGGACGGCAAAGAGTGAGATGGTTAGACAGCATCATAGATGCAACGAACATGAAGTTGAGCAAACTTCAGAGGACGGCGGAAGACGGGAAGGCCTGGCGGGAGCTGGTCCATGGGGTCGCGGAGAGTCGGACTCGATTGTGTGACTGAACAACAACAACATGGTGGAGCAGCACAGGTTGTTGACAACTGTGGGACGCTTCCCAGATGTCGCTGCCCGATCGCTCCCTTTAGATCCGTCGGGCACTCGCACTGTGTCGGATCTAAAGGAGCGTGTGATCACAGCCTTTGTCACCCAAGGCCGTTCCAGAATAAGCATCACCACCAGCTGACAAGTTCCAAGCAACTGGTAGCTTATGGGAACAGGGTGATTTTTTTCCAGAGGCGAGCTGTGCTGGTCTGCGGTAGAAAAGCTAGATCTGAGACCAGGAGCACCTTTGAGTTCAACAAGAGTTTCAGGGCATAGGCTTTTGGGAGTCAAAGCTCCCTTTGTCAGACGCGGTAGAGTACAACCGGAGGTCTGAGTCCTTTTCTCCCAGTCCAAAGGTAGGAGGGGTGTTGTAAAGACTGCTTGTAAAGGATGCAAAGGTACAATGCAGAGGGGGAATGCTTGGGGGAAGAACATTAGCATCCCTAGTGAGATAAACCTCCTATGTCCTTATTTAGCCCTGAATACAAAAGCAACCTTGAAGAATGTAAACAGAATCTGTTTTTTACAAAAACGTTTATAGTGATATTACATAAACTAACATGCAAACTACAAAGTGCATCATTACATTAAAAGACAAACAAAATACAAGCAGGAAATAAACCCTGCTGAAATAGTAAAAAAAACCCAGTAGCGCCTTTAAGACTAACAAACTTTATTGTAGCATAAGCTTTCGAGAAACACAGCTCTCTTCGTCAGATGCACCTGACTAAGAGAGCTGTGTTTCTCAAAAGCTTATGCTACAATAAAGTTTGTTAGTCTTAAAGGCGCTACTGGGCTTTTTACTATTTTGCAGCAACAGATTAACACAGCTAACTCCTCTGGATCTATGACCTGCTGAAATACAATCTTAAAGGGACCGAGCCAATAAAGAATCCTCTTGAGCTGTAAGAACAAGAATCATTCTCTGCAACAGTTGAAGACAAGTCCCTCGGAGCATGAAGACGTCAAGGTTAGTACTACAGGCCTGTTTCGAATCGATGTCTTTATCAAGCTGTTAGTCTTCATGAGGCTTGTGGGACTTCCAATAGCTTCCAAGAATCCACAAGCACACGGCAGCAAGAGTCCCATAGTGACGACCTTGAGATTCTCGTTCTTACAGCCTAAGAGGACTGTTTATTGGCTTGGTCCCTTTAAGACTGTATTTCAGCCGGTTTATTTCCCGCTTGCATTCTGTATGTCTTTTAATGTAATGATGCACTTAGTGGTTTGCGTGTTAGTTTATATAATATCACTATAAATGTTTTTGTAAAAAACAGATTCCGTTTACATTCTCCAAGGCTGCTTTTATATTTCTGGCTGATTACATCGTTGGCAACCTTCTCTTTGCTTGTTTCCTATTTAGCCCTGGGCAGTCCATTGTTCTGAACAGGGTGGCACACAGTTCAAACTGTCACCTTCCCCACATGGTTTCATGTGCACGCAAAGAATGGGAAGGGTTCACTGCCACATGCATGACATGATATGGATGTGACTGTTATAGGCAGAGACCTCAAGTGGGGCCAAATGGTCAACAGGAATCTGCTTTCTGTTTTGCCGATTTCTGCAGGCTGCCCCCTTAGGTTTAAATAGCATGAATGAAAGTAATTTAAAAAACAAACAAACTATGAGTCTCTCTAAGAAACATTGTTGCATTCGGTTTTGACCTACCCGGCTACGGTCAACCACACAGCCATGCTTAGCAAGTTGCGGCGTGCCATTCTAAAGGACATACACGAGAGACATTAAATAGAAGACATGTTCACACCAACGTTTAGGAACTTTTGAAATAAAACATGCTGAAGTCACATAACGGTGACTTTTCAAAAATCGTTTTTCCCCCCTAACAGTCAGTTTTTCCGCATTTTCATTTTCCTCGCTTGTAGGTTCCTATTTCTTCAGAGTTCTGCACATGTTTTGCTCTTTCTAGTGGTCAATTTGATGTTGTACCAGTTAATGTTCAGTGTGTCTCTCTGCAGATTTAAACCACAGTTTTTTTATGCCAGACATAACGTAGTGTAATACTGAATTGGCCACTAGAGGGAGCAAAACATGTTCGAAACAGAAACCCCCCCCAAAGAAATAGAATTTACAAGCGTAATACTTTTTAAAATTAACAGAGCATAAATGTTTGCAGGAGCTGCGGTGGCTCAAGTGGTTAAGACGCTGAACTGCAGGCTGTGGAAGGTCAGTAGTTTAGCAGTTCAAGACCCGGGTGCCGCAAGACGGGGTGAGCTCCTGTCTCTAGTTCCAGCTCCTGCCAACCTAGCAGTTCGAAAGCAAGAAATTACAAGTAGATAAATAGGTACCACTTCAGTGGGAAGGTAACAGCGTTCCGGGCGCCTTGGTGTTTAGTCCTGCCGGCTACATGACCACGGAAACGTCTTCGGACAGCGCTGGCTCTTCGGCTTTGAAACGGAGATGAGCACCGCAACCGTAGAGTCGGATTCGACTGGCTTTCGAGCAAGGGAACCTTTACCTTTACCTAAATGTTTGCAAGTTATCACCTCCTTCACCAAAAGGAAGTGAAGCCGTTAACTGGAAAGATCCAAGGACAGGTTAATAAGTACTACGCGCAGATACAAAATACACTGTTATTCTTGTTCTTCAACTGAGAAAAGACACCTGAACCACTGCTTAGATCTTGACTGACACCACGGAATTTCTGACAAAAATTCCTGTCTTGCCACCTTTTGTTTCAAATGTCCCCCAAAATGCATCTGATTGAAGATTTTCTTAATATATTATATAAAGATGGCCACACTTGAATCACATTCTCCAATAATCTCCACGACACCTTATTTCGGCACTTGGCATTACCTAGCGATATCTAATCCAGGATTTTTACAGCCTTAACTCTTCCATTGCTCTGACCTGGATGGCCCAGGTTAGCTCGGTCTCATTAGCTCTCGAAAGCTAAGCAGGGCCGGCCCTGGTTAGTCCTTGGATGGGAGACCGCTGAAGAAGCCCAGGGTCCCTGCGCAGAGGCAGGCAACGGCACAACCACCTCTGAACGTCTCGACTTGAAGACTGCAGGAGGAGTCACCATAAATTGGCTGCAACTTAACACCACCAGCAGCTCTTCCATTAATAAAACAAATGCATTTGTGCCTCAATAACTGTATCTGTGTGTCCATAAATTAGTGCCACACATTGTATGATTAAATGGCACACACACTGTGTGTATACAGTCCATGGAATTCATGTCAGAAGAAAAACAGTGCCACTGATACCAGGAATGAAAACAGGCACACTGAAGCAATCCATAATAACCGTGTACGGAAACAAAATAGGGCCAAATTTGCCCATCCCCATTGCTAAACTCACGGGAGGCCTGCTACTGAGTGATGTTTACCAGCATGAATACAATACGTGTTACAAACACACAGCTCTGCTTTGCACCCACACCCACACACACACACACACACACAGACCCGACGAACACCAGCCTACACACCCCAAGTACACAACTGGTGTCAAGTCCACCCATTGGTCCAGAGCTCCATGAACGGGCAAGCCAGACCCTTGGGACCACACGCAGAAGCTGTACTTCTCATCTCAGCAAGGCAAGTTACAAAGCAGATAAAGGAAGCTCTGGCCTCTGCCCTTCAAGCCAGCCAACTCCGGGTACACAAGAGCCTGCGGCGTACCTTGAAGTGGAATGAATTTCGAGGAGAAGAGCTGGAGGAGTATTGCTCGTTTTTGACCAAATTGCTGTAGTAGTCAGTGACTTTGCCATTCACAGCCTTGACTGAGACGGGGTCATCCGTTATTGGGCAGATGTAGTAAGCCTCTTCTTCGTCGCTGTCGCCATCATGGTAATTTCCAGAGGCCGCTTTTGTTACTCTGGCGTTATCAAGGCATTCCATGTGGAAGATGAGGTCTTCGTCCGCCATGTTTGTGGGAGAGCAGTTTTGTGCACGTGACAGTTGAAGCAGCCAGTATTACAAATGGAGGGACCTGAAAAACAGGGGCGGACAAAAGTGAGCCTCTACGTGAGGTTGGGGGAGTGAGCAGATAAGGTGCTCTGGGGTTGCTTAGAGATTTGACAACAAACATAATCCAGAGAGGTACAGGGGGCAAGGGTGTCGAACTCATTTGTTATGAGGGCCGGAGCTGACATAAATGAGACCTTGTTGGGCCGGGCCATGCGTGTCATAAAAGGTCATGCCAGGTAGCGGAGATATAAACTTTATAAAGGACACAGACAAACACAATTAAAGATTTTTTTTAACTTTAAATAACACATTTTCAGTGAGTTCGACACCTCTTAGAGGGTCAGATTAGGTCTAGAGGGGCGTCAGTTTCAAATCTCAATTTAGCCACAGGTGCGTATGGGCCAGTCAGTCTGCCTCACTTGTCTAACCTGTTGTTAGTGTATTAGAAAATGGAGCAGAATTATGTATGTCACTCTGAGCTCACTGGAGGAAGGGTGAAAAGGAAAAATAGAATAGATAAACAAACCCACAGAACTAGATAACAATATCAGCCGGAACTCAGACTCTGAATCTTCTACACGCAAAGGCCAGCAGTTCTAACGCTGAGTGAGGGCCCGTTGTTTTAAAACTGCAGGGTTTTTTAGTTTAAAGAGACCTGGATTCAAATCCCCTGCAGGGCCACAAAGCTCACTGGGTGACCTTGGGAGAGTTTCACGCCCTCTCAGCTGTACCTGCTGTCCAGGATTGTTAGCAGGGGTCATTTTGTAGAAAATAGGATGCAGAAGCTCATTAGCATAACTCATTAGCATAACTTATTTGCATATGCCACACCCCCTGACATCATTGGAAGTGTTGTCAGAAGGCTCAGGCTCCACTGGACTGTTTTAGATTGCTAGCTATTGGGGGGGGGGAAGTGCAGATCTGTCTTCACAGAGGAGGGAGAGCTTGTACCTGAATAAAACTTGGTCTTAAAGGTGCCACTGGACTGTTTTGGACTGGGGGGCCAGGGGGAGCTCTGCAACTTACCTGGCTGCTTCTTGCTCTGATTGAGGGGAGCAGGGGGTGGGGCTTGTTACATGTGCCTGCCCCCTGGGCTATTTACTGCCGGAGCTCTGCTCCTGTGCGCTCCTGCAGGAAATGACCCCTGGTTATGAGGATAAAATGGGTGTGTGGGCAGTAGGGTTGTCAGCTCTGGGTTGAGAAATTCCTCGATATTTTGGGGGTGGAGTCTGGGGAGGGCGGGGTTTGAGGAGGGGACAGATTTCAGCAGGGTACAGTGCCATAGGGTTAACCTTCAAAAGCAGCCAATTTTCTCTAGGGGAACTGAACTCTGTCACCTGCAAATAAGTTGTAACCCCGGGAAATCTCCAACCACTACCTGGAAATTGGAACCCTCATGGGGTGGGATGAGCTGCTGAGAAGGGCAGATTTAAGTTAAAAAAAAAACTCAAAAAATAAAATCCCATTTATTATATTCTGCAAAACGGCTATTTTTTAAATTTAAATTCTATTGTTGTTTTTAAAATATATCGTATAGAATACTAACAGACAAGTTTCCCCTCCCATTAACCCAGCCTATCCCTAAATAAAGGGGGAGAAGGGGGTAATTGAAGCTCATCCAAACAGTTTTATGTTACATTTCACATTCAGCCCCGGTACTATTTTATTAAATGCCTGCACCCCCTTCTGTTATATGTGATTTCCCACCACCACCCCTTCACTGCTGGATCTAATAGCTCTTCTGTCCAAGTGTCTATATGTGGTGGAGTTCCAGATAATTTTCTGTGCTGCTTCCCCTATGATACTGTCAGCCTTTGAGAGGGGATTTACTTTCGGTGAATGGTGTAAGCTGGCTCTATGACTCCTCGCTAAAGACATGCTACTAAAACGCACGCACTGGGTTGGACCTCACCAGGCCTTTCAGAGAGACAAACAGCAGCTCCAGCAGAGACGGCAGGTCTGGGCACGGCGATGCACCCTACTTATCTAGTTCAAAGCTGTCGCTTGCATCACCTGCTCTGCCGTCTTGTGAAAGAAGCAGGAGCAAATCAGCACACCTCCCCATCGCTCCTTCACGTCTATCCTTGAAAGGGATACCTTGGATATTTTTTTAAAAAGAGAGTCTAGTAGCATCTTAAAGACCAACATATTCTATTCTAGTGTAAGCTTTTGCAGACTTAAGAGCACACTTTGTCGAATGCAGCAGGCCGAATTCCACAAAAGTGTACTTAGCTGGAATAAAATGTTGTTAGAATTTAAGGTGCCCCTGGACTTCTGGTTTATTTTTGCCTCTTAGCAACTAGCATTCTGAAATATACTGCTTCTGAACTTGGAGCTTCCCCTTTAGCTATCACGGCTACTATCTTCCAGGGGTTTGTCTAATCCCATTTCAAAAGCCATTTATTCTCGTGGGCATCACTACATCATGTGGCAGAGAGTCCCACAAGTTATCTACACATTAGGTGCAGGAGAACTTCCCATGGGCAACTGCTATTTCTACTTCACAGCTGAAAGAAAACCCTAATCTGCAAGGCATGGGCTACCCTGTCAGTTCACCTTCTTTTAGAGACAAAAATGAAGGGGAAAGCGTTACCTTTCAGTAGACCAATTTCTAGCAGAGAAGTCGAGTGCCGGCTTCCATACTGTACAGAATGCTACTTCAGGCAGAAGACGGCAGTGAAACAGGGTACAAGGTCACGCGTGCTACCAGAGTGGTAAAAATCCTGTGGGGAAAAAAGGATCCCCTTTTACCAATGACACTAAGAAACGGCCCACTGCAAAATCTTATTTGGGATTTATTTATTTATTAAAAGATGTCTATCCTGCCTTTCCTCTTGGTTCAAGGAAGCTTAGAATAACAGTTAAAACATTCCCAGCTAAAACCAAAGATAAAATTGCAAGCCCCCCAATCTCTCCCTTCCACTTTAAAGATGCCTGGTACATTCAAATGCCTTATGAGGTCAGCCAAAATTAGACACGGTCCAACTGTAAACAGCTCTCTGATGTTAAAACACACACACATTTAAGATTGTTTAAACCTGGTCCCCCAAAAAATTCAGTTCAAGGAAACAAGATGCAGCATCGCTATAAAAATATCAGGAAGAAAAGCACTCCCGGTGAAAAGAAGGTATGATTATTTAACATATTTTGCCTCTGCTCTCTTTGTTAAAAACATCTCACATGTCTTACAGCAGCATCGTTAAAACCCATTTCCACTGGAATAAAAAAAAACCAAATAAAAGAACAGGAGAGCACACTCCCAGGAAGAGGAATCTATGCCAGAAAAACAAACAGCGCATTAAAACAAATCAGGAACTTTAAAACACAAAAAGCAGATGAAGCTGGGAAATTATCACGTAGTAGCAAAGCAGTGAGAGACAAATACACAGTTCAGCAAAACACCTGAGAGAGTAAAAGGGGTTTTAATCAGACACGTACAGCTTGACACCAGGGGAACCCACTCTGAGGTGAGCATACCAGGACTGAGGAGACACAACAAAGAAGGCCCTGCCTTTAAGTTGTCAAATTTGTCTCAGACCACAGCCTCTAATGGGTAGGTTCGAGAGAGCAGGCAGTAGTCCAAGAACCCTATGATGTCATACATCCTTCTTGTCTGTGAATGGCAATGCCAGAGCACATTCTGAAGTTTCCACAATTGTTCGGGGATTCTCTGTAGACACACAACACAATTCCGTCTGCAAAATTAAGCCAGTTGTCACAATAGCTGCTGGGAAAATACAAATCCCGCTTTCCTTTGTGCTTTAGCATAGGCCGAGCAGCACAACAAGAGCTGATTTAGTCACTTCTATTTTAATATCTGCCTTGCTTCATTAATTCCTCTTCTTTACATCCACGCCAACGCCTTCGGGCAGCGAAGGGAGCGCTAAAGGCTCCTGATGCTCTTCCGTAGACCTGGGAGCCATTTTGGCCAGCCGGCATGCACCGTCTGAGCGGCCTCTGGGTGTGCCAAGTCCAGTCTCTCGCTGACCCGCAGCTGAGGCAGGCAGCTCTGGAAATCTGGCACCCAAGCAACAGCCTACTTAGCTCCTGCAGTGGAGCCAACCCTGTCCGGCCGAAGAACCCCAGCTCGAAACAAAAAAGGGGCACTTAAGGCCTAAGAAATACCTGGCAATAAAAGCAAATAAATTACTTTGGGGGCAGTATCTAGCGTTGCCAGTCTCTAGGAGTTCACCCAGAATTACGATGGATCTCCAGAGGGCAGAGATCTGTTCCCTAGAGAAAACAGCTGCTTTGGAGGGTGGACTCTATGGGAATGCACCCCACTGAGGTCTTTCCCCAGGCTCCGTCCCCAAATTCCAGGGAATTTTCCAACCTGGAGTCGGCAACCCTAGCAACATTTGTTGTTGCTGCTGGGACTTCCTCTTTCTCTTTGTTTTCCTTCTCACTGGCTCTTTAACCGAAAGAATGCAAAAGAGTGAGTTTGCAGAAGCTTACCTGGGAGGAATTCTCGGTGCCTAGCAATCCATTAGACCCCCCAATGTTTCCCAAGCACCAGAGGCTACAGACCAAGGAAGAGTCCAGAACACGGCTCTCCGGCTCCAGCCCCAAAGCACAATCGGAACGCTGTGCCGTCAGCAGAACTGAAATGTTTCTGAAACGCATCCAGCTTCTTCCCCACTTATCTCCATGACAGACAGAAGGCTGTTGCCGGGTCTCTGGCAGAGAGCCATTTGCTGCCCTGAGAAAGAACTCCCTGTACTTCTTCCGGGCTCACAACATCCACACAGGTGCCAACTGAACAGACTTCAGCAACCCCACGAACCTGACCCTGACCTTAATCAGTCCACACTGGTGGTGGCAGTGCTCTGATACAACCCCCTCTTCCCCTTCCTTGTGCCAAAACTAAAGACAGAGAGACCTGCGGTTAAATCTTGAGCACATTTGCAATGGCCATCTGTCACGGTCTGGCCCGTACACAACCCAAAGCTATTCTGGTGTCTCCTGCAAGGTACATATTACAGTGGTCATCCAGATACTTAAATATGCAGGCTTTTAAACAAGGAGGGCGATCCAAATTCCGCAAGAGACACTGCGTTTTGCAAGCAGTAGAAATGATACCGAATTAAAACCCATTTTGCGTGTCCTTGCATTATTTATTGTTCCATCTGCAAGAAGATCAAATCAGTCAATCCTAAAAGAAATCCACCCTGACTGTTCCCTGGAAGGCCAGATAATGAAACTGAAGCTCAAATACTTTGGCCACCCAATGAGAAGGGAGCCCTCACTGGAGAAGACCCTGATGCTGGGAAAGATTGAAGGTCAAAGAAGACGGGGACGGCAAAGGGTGAGATGGTTAGACAGTGTCACAGATGCAACGAACATGAAATTGAGCAAACTTCAGAGGACGGCGGAAGACAGGAAGGCCTGGCGGGATCTGGTCCATGGGGTCGCGAAGAGTCGGACTCGACTGTGCGACTGATCAAAACAACCTAAGTACAGTTACACCCTTGTACAGCCATTGACTTCATGGGTGTAACTCAGCATAGGGTGCCACTGTTGTTCTCCTACAGCTGGCTTTCAAAAGACATTGCCAGCATTCTCTGAACTCCTGAGGACTAGAAGCCATGATTCACCTTCCTTGGCTTTTTTAAAAAAAATTAAAGCCCAGATTCTCAGGATGCGGGACTCTGAACCTAGGAGCGATTTTGGCTGCTGGTACCACAATGCGTACACACACGGGTATTTAAATGTTCACCCAATGTGCTCCATTTATCTGCTGACTGCCCACAAAGGCACTCAGAGCAGAGAACTTTACAGGTCATGAATCGATCTGCGTTTGTTGACTTTTTTTTTTAAACGATCACGTTTTATTTTCTGTTCTAAGGTGAGGTGGAACTAGGAACATGTATTCTAAAGAAATACAACAGAAGAAGACTCTATGCAGGAAACAATGGCTATTGCAGTTTTTTAATGGCCTTAAGAAATAGGGTATTAAAAATAAAAAAAAGCTGTGAGAATTCTGGCCATCTCTCCCCAGGCCTCAACAAAGGACATGGGAGTTAAAGGCCCTTCGCAAGCTCTAAGCAGCCATTCTGGGTGTATCCACATCCACTGGCCCTACTACTTTGGGGAAGAGACACTTGCGGGTTGAAATAATTGCCACCTTCCAATACCTAAAGGGATGCCATGCAGAGGATGAGGTGGATATGTTTTTGGTCATGTTGGATGACAGGACTTGGACTAATGGAGATAAACTACAGCAAAGGCGGTTTCGACTAAATTTGGGGAGAAACGTCCTGATGGTGAGGTGTGTTTGACACCTGGAACAGTCTTCCTCATGAAGTGGTGAATTTTTCATTGTTGGAGGTTTTTAAGTATCGGCTGGATACCTACTAGTTAGGGATTTTATATTTGTAGTTACTACACTGGCAAAAGGATGGACTAGATGACGCTGGTGGTCCCTTCCAACTCTGATATTAAATAAATAAACATACCATGACACTCTGAGGGGACTGGAGTGGAATTCTAACTCAAGAATGGCAGGGACACGTGCCCCCCTCCATGACAATATGAGGCCACCATGCTCATTCTACCTAAATCCAAACTTAGTACACTCTCCCACAAGTGCAAAACCTGAATCTTCTAGTTAAAATTAACTGAAATGGCCAATTTTCCTAAATGTTTCTCTTGCTTTCTACCAATTGTAAAAAGGCTAAATACTGAGAACTCAAGGGGAAAAAACTACAGGAGGCATCAAGATAATAACAAATAGGCAGACTGAGACCACCCTCTAAAATAACACGGAAGGCCAGGCCCACCTTGAATGTCACCCCAGTTGGGGACCTTCCATTGTCTCTTAAAACACTGAGAGAGAGAAGGAGAGAGAGAAGAAAGAAGAGATTGGATTTATACTCCACCCTTCACTCAGAGTCTCAGAGCAGTTTACAATCTCCTTCCCTTCCTCTCCCCACAACAGACACCCTGTGAGGTAGGTGGGGCTGAGAGAGCTCTAAGAGAATTGCTCTTGAGAGAACAGCTCTGAGAGAACTGTGACTTGCCCAGGGTCACCCAGCAGCTGCATGTGGAGGAGTGGGCAATCAAACCCGGTTCTCCCAGATTAGAGTCAGCACTCCTAACCAACACACCAAACTGGGTGTTGGCGACTGGGACGGCATGCTCCATCTCTGCCATTTTTTTCTCTGTGGTTTGGGCGCTGCTGCTCCAAGCAGATTCCCCCCGCGTCCCCCATCCCATTCTTGCTGTTATCTCTCCCGATCTCGGGAGCTTACTTCCTGGGTTGGCTTCCTTCTCATGCCAGGCGAGTCACCCCCAGAACAAAAGCCTGTTTCCGGTGGCAAGCCACCAGGGAGCAAACCTGAAATTCTACCCTGGGGGTCCCCAACCTTTTGAGCCCGTGGGCAACTTTGGAATTCTGCCCCAGCATGGTGGCTGCGGCCACAAAATGGCTGCTGCAGGAGTTGGAGCCAGCTACAAAATGGCTGCCCCAGCTCACCTTCAGTTACACAGTGAAGATCACTGTGCTTGTGGTGGAGTGGGGAGTAACGTGCACAGCCAATCAAATCACCAGTGGCCAATCAGAAGCCTTGCTGGGGAAAAGCCCCCCATTTAAAAAAGACTTCACGGGGGGCAAAAAAGGTGTCAGGGGGTGCCCTGGCCCCCACAGCCCCCACGTTGGAGACCCCTGTTCTATCCAATCAGTTTAGGCCACTCAAATAATATGGAGGATGAAATACATGGGCGG